TACTGATACATGATACTGATGACATTGAAATGAAATAGAAATCATTAAACCGATTTCAGAACATTGCATGGTGAAGGATATTAGTTTTTCATTTACATTTTACGCATTTGCCTTACATTTTCATCTATAGTGACCTTTCATGCATACATACAGCATGCTGCAAACAACATTAATATATTACACATAATTACTATGAATATAATTTATAGTATCTATTAACTCTGTTTACACTAATCTTGGGTAAATTAATACAGGATTATTCATTTAAAGGATGATATAAGTATTTATAATATATGTTAGTTAATGTCCCTATAGCTTAACTAGTATAGTATGGTGATAACAGTATTAATATATTTATTTATTATTTTAATTTGCATTATGATGATTGAAAGAATACAGCTTTTATTTATTTATTTATTATTTATATGTGCATTAATATCCCTAATTCCGCTAGTACACCATGGGGATACCAATATTAATATAATATTTTTTTTTTATTTTAATTTGCACCTTTCAAAGTAGTAACAATGTTTCACATTTTATTCAAATTAAATCATATAAAAATATTTCAACTGAAAATACAGCTCCAGAAACCAAATACTAAAGGGTGTTTATGACCATACAAAATGGAAATGGATGGTGTACAGTATAATGGTTTACAGTGTACATGTATATTTTCATTTGTATATGGTAATGAAGGCATTTTAAGGTAAGGAATAGCATTGTAGAAGCTATTTTAAAATACTGCCACATGAAAATACGAATCCAGGAAAAATCTTCTTTAGCACAGACCTTTGAGCCATTCTAATCCGTTACCTCAGACCATAATAAGGGGAATAACACTAGCTGTAGCAATGGAACACATCTGCTTCACACAATCATATCTCCTGAGCTGGTGCGAAATAGATTCAGCGCGATCATAACATGCTTTCTTCCCATAAATGTAAATCCACAATTTGCAAATGTAAAACAGACATTTTTGAGTTATTAGATAAAAAACAAGGTTTCCTCCACCAGCGATCTCCACAACAGCCACGTTTGGATGGCCATAAAAAAGTGACTAAAATCAATGATCATTGAAAGAGCAAAAGAGAGCCTTAGAGTCTCTTATGCTATAATGCCACTGGGACAAAAGCGCCAGTCTCTTAATCGGCTCTTCTGGAGGGGCTCCTGAACATTAAAAATCATCAGTGAAATTACTGAGAGAGCTTCTAGGAACTGCCATGCTTGATCCTCTGAATCAGGGTGGTGAATAGGTGCTTCAGATGCCCTCTTACCCACAGGCTGGATTCAGCTGCCCTGCTGCCAGCGAAGACCCCTAATGAGCCTCTGCAATTAAGCCGGTTTATTCACGCTAAGTGTGAACAGGGTGCGTGTGGAACCGTAGGCAGCTAACAGGCCTGGGCTCTTTGTGCCACAAGTGCTGCTTTTATTCAGCTCACAAAGCAGAAAACAACACCCGCACCTATAATGGCGAAGTCTTTCCCCCTCACTCGGTCGCGACTTGACAGAGCGGAGTGGGCGGGGTTAAGACAGACTGACAGCGGGGCCCATCTCTATCCTCTTATTAACGCTTAACGAGTGCCTTCCTCATGCAATATTCATCGCCACTAATATCATCCAAGCTCTGAGCTGAGCTGGCTACTTATGTAAGGCAATTATGTAAAATATCAGACAGGGCCCACACTCAGAATCTGACTGGGGTAGAGATGCGGGACAAGAACCGAGAGGAGGAAGAACTGAAAGTGAAAGGGAGCATGAGAGAGGAGGATGAAGGCCAGGACGATTCGCAGCCAGGGTTACTATAGTTAACTAAAACTAAAACCATTATGTTACGTATAATAAAACAAACTTTAACTGAAATAAAATATGAAAAACGTATTTTATTACAGCTAGTTGCCAAGGCAACAGTTCTCATTTTCATTTAGTTTAACTTCATGTACTAAGACTAAAACTGAAATAAAAATGAATATACAACAAAATGACTAAAACTGAAGAAATATTCCACCCAGAATACAAACACTCATTATTTACTCATCCTCATTGTCATTTCAAACCTGTATGACTTTCTTCTGTGAAACACAAAAGAAGATATTCTGATTATTTTGATTATATTTTGATATTTTATGTTGGTAACCACACAGTTCCGGGTCCCATTGACTATTTTTATTTCTATACAATGCAAGTCAGAGAGACCCTAAACCATTTGGTTACCAACATTCATTAAAATATCTTCTATGTTCCTCAGAAAGAAAGTCAAACAGGAGTAAATGAAAGTGAAAAAGTGAAAGTGACATGACATGTGGCCAAGTATGGTATTTTCTGTTTTCATTTGAATTTTAGATAAAGCAATGGTCCACCCAAAAATTATAATTCTCCTAAATGATGACAGAATGATAATTTTTGGGTGGACCATTGCTTTAGCTAAAATTCAAATGAAAACAGAAAATCGAAAAACAAAAACTAGTTCAAAATCGTAATAAATGATAACACCCGTCGCAGTCGCATTGCCATCCATTCCAGAGCGCCCGATTGAGTCAAAATTACTGGAGAATGCTTGGCCTTCACTGTTAACCCCTAACCCGGAAATGCTCAACAATCAGCGCTCTCGAGATTATCAAAAGGTTAACGAGTTTGAACACATCTGCCCACTCGCCCATCTCCAATGATTTCCCAAGAACCCATTGCCCCAAAATATATATAATTGTGTATATTACTCAGAGTAGACACGTCGAGAAAATGCTGTTTTTCTGATCTGCATTACAGCGCATTTGCCCACCAACGACAATACCACCCACTCTGTACCTCTCTGACTCCTGATGCCTGATACCTGTGCTGTGACTGTCTACAATCTGCATAACCACAGAGAACTTCTGCTGAAGACGCGCGCACACACAGCGCTCCACTTCCACAAGGTCACCCAAGGCCGATGCGGATGTATGTGAGTTCCAGTGACCTGTGGTCTCCAGCGCGCACATAAACAGACTAAAATAAACACATCCTCTAGTGGGAATGACATCCCCCTCACACCTCATCGGCTAAGCGTACATTTCCATAAGTCTACATGCTCTGCAACCATCTCCTCCAACTTCACCCATTGGAGACTCGCACCTATGAAAGTGCCAACGACATAACAGAGATACACCGAGCGCGCTCCCTCAGGTCAAGGCCCTGTGGGGGTCTGTGCAGAAATAGGTCATTTGTCACACATCAAGTCCTGGGGCAGGAGATGCATTATAGATGAGACCAAACAGCCTGTCTCAGTGAGCTCTACCCACTCCCTGAGACTGGAAACGGGGGGAAGGGAGCTTGAGATAACAACCGCTGCAATCAGTATGTGTCGATGTTTAATATCAGCTCCAACGAGCAACAATAAGCAGACATGTGCATTCATTCTCAAGTCTCTGATTTTAGGTGTCGCTGGACATTAAGTCAATGGGATCATACAAACAATGCATGACAAAAATTACTGGAGAATGCTTGGCCTTCACTGTTAACCCCTAACCCGGAAATGCTCAACAATCAGCGCTCTCGAGATTATCAAAAGGTTAACGAGTTTGAACACATCTGCCCACTCGCCCATCTCCAATGATTTCCCAAGAACCCATTGCCCCAAAATATATATAATTGTGTATATTACTCAGAGTAGACACGTCGAGAAAATGCTGTTTTTCTGATCTGCATTACAGCGCATTTGCCCACCAACGACAATACCACCCACTCTGTACCTCTCTGACTCCTGATGCCTGATACCTGTGCTGTGACTGTCTACAATCTGCATAACCACAGAGAACTTCTGCTGAAGACGCACACACACACACACAGCGCTCGACTTCCACAAGGTCATCCAAGGCCGATGGGGAGTTCCAGCGACCTGCGGTCTCCGGCGCGCACATAAACAGACTAAAATAAACACATCCTCTAGTGGGAATGACATCCCCCTCACACCTCATCGGCTAAGCGTACATTTCCATAAGTCTACATGCTCTGCAACCATCTCCTCCAACTTCACCCAACGGAGACTCGCACCTATGAAAGTGCCAAAGACATCCGCGTAACAGAGATATACCGAGCGCGCTCCCTCAGGTCAAGGCCCTGTGGGGGTCTGTGCAGAAATAGGTCATTTGTCACACATCAAGTCCTGGGGCAGGAGATGCATTATAGATGAGACCAAACAGCCTGTCTCAGTGAGCTCTACCCACTACCCGAGACTGGAAATGGGGGGAAGGGAGCTTGAGATAACAACCGCTGCAATCAGTGTGTGTCGATGTTTAATATCAGCACCAACGAGCAACAATAAGCAGACACATGCCTTCTGATTTTAGGTGTCGCTGGACATTAAGTCAATGGGATCATACAAACAATGCATGACATCTATATGACATTGACAACCAAAATGATGTCTTAATCCATATTGTAAGCACTGGCCTTTGTGTGATTATGCAACATATGCATTCAACACGCACCTGACATGAACGGTTAAGCAGTGGGCCGTGTTATGACCTTCACACAGATATGCCTTTGCACAGCCATTCTGCATTTGGAAAAAAAAAACGCCGGACTCATTCACGGCATTCTTAGAAATGCAGCGTGTCAGACTGAGAAGATGGAATTTGAGAAGAAGAGCTGCGCTGCAAGGACAAATAATCAATAGAGGGAAAAACTGAGGCTTGAGTAAGGGGATGAGAGAGAGCGAGCGAGAGGTAAAGAGAAGGAGAAAGCATGGCTCCTGTCTTTTTCTGCACCCATCTGTTCGGAGTGCAGGTGGAGCTCTATTCACTCAGCGCTGCATGTGTGTTGGTGGGGGGTAAGGCAGAAAGGGAGGGCAAAAGGAAGAGTGGAGAGATGGTGGAGGGTGGAGGGACGGGGGGCTCTCGGTGATCTCTCCTGAAGGGGATAATGGGAGAGGAGCGCATTGCAATGGCTGCCATGTAGTACCCTCCCTCCACAATTAGCCAATCAGCAGCAAGCTCTGCCAGCCAGAAGGACACATAAAAGAAGAACATTGCAGCAGAGGCACAGAAGGAGCCTGCAAGGAGCTGGGAAATACACACACAACAGCAGAACCACAACACCCTCCCCTGGACACACCCTACTGGGGATCACTGCTTCTCTTTTTTTTCTGAACCATCGCCCACGCCACACGGAGAGAAATCTCTCTCTCATCATCGTCCTGAAGAAAACCCCCTTCTCCTCATTTTCACACTGCTGAGGAAACCTACAATCGCACGGGCTGAGCTTTCCTGCCGAAGACTGTCGTTTTTCCTTTTTCTTTTTTTTTCTTTTCGTTTGGAACCTGACATTCGCCTTTCTCGAGCCACACCACGGCGTAATATCTGCAAGACAGCCTGAAGACCTGCCACTTGAAGGACCTAGATCACTATCATCTTTGTACATCAAGAATGGTTACTGTACGTATGCCCTTTTTTTGGTCTATCTCATGAAAAAACAATAACAGCATCACCACAAAATCAATTCTAACAGCTGAGATGTATAATTAGATACAAAATATAGGGTATGACAATACAAGCTAACCAAAACATGCACACAGCATTTGGTGGTCAAACATACTGGCACATCTAATCGCGGATTCCGTAAACAAGATTAACGATTAGCCCAGGGTATAAGTAATGTGATACAGGCATGCGCGAGCATCGCTACAGCCGAGCTGAGGAGAATCAAAACAATGCTTTCTCCTGCCGTAAGAGCCACTCGTCATAAATCACGTAATGCGTGAAACCCTCCGCAACATACATTTATTCCTACATCCGCTAATTAAACGCGTTCAAGCGATAATTAGCCATTATTAACAAAGAGCGCTGAGGAATTCCTCAGAAATAGCAGAGGTGCGGCGGACGCAGAAGAAGGGCGTAAGAAGGCACATGCCTCGCTCGGAAAGGATGCTCGAGACTGAATCTCGGAGACAAAACCCGATGCCTGGGAGGCTGAGAGCCCATCGAGAGCAAAGGCAAAGAAAAGGGTCGAGTCACTCAGAGGGGGAGGGGAGATATTATGCATCCGTTGGTTTGGATTGAATCAGGCAGGACAAAATTCCTAAAGCTTGCGATGCTATATAAGACACCGCGAGAGAGGAAAAGGCGAAATGTCATGCATGGAAACGGCTAAATATCACGCATTTCTTGCGATATCTTAGCGAGTTGCGTTTTTCTTCTTCCCTCACCAAAAATACATAGACACCGAGAGGGTAAATAAGCAATACGAGGGGAATACAAAGGCCTTGAGGGAAAGCGTTTTGGGCGTGTCTTCTCTAAAAGAAGACTGCGATGGCACGCGCACAGAATCACCATATTCACGTAGATTTTCTGTGTGAAAACATAAACAGAACCGCTTATTTGAATACAAACATGTTCACATTTAAAATGTTAAGATTAATGAATTACGTTTAATTCTTTAGGCCTGCTCGACATGAAGTGCTGTCAGGTTAACCGTCTTTGTTTCTTATCAGAAAGACGTGATAATGGTACTAGATTGGCTATAATGGCGACTCGTTTTGTAATATACATAATTTTAATAGCCCACTTTAAATATTACCCTAGGCTACACCCTTGTCGGCTACACAACATTTTGCGTTTGAGGTTATAGAGGCCTCTAGTCTTGACAAATAAGTAAATATATATTGGTCTGCTGTGAAGGACAGCCTGACTTGTTTTATAGTGACCTCAGACAAAAGGCGATAGGAAGCGACGCGCTTCTCTTTCGCTTTAAGTCTCAATCGATGGTGTGATGAATGAATGACGGGCCCCTCGGCGTGTTGTTCCGCAGTCCTCCGTGAGCACGAGCCTCTACCGCAGTGCCAAAGCACATAAAACCGTTGAGTCAGATAACCTTCTCCAGGCGCGTACGCAATTCAAGGACAAGGACATCACAGCGATACACAACACAACACAACCGTCTGAACACGCGAGCTCCTCGTTAATCGTTCATAAAGGGGTTTGTCAATTAAAGAAAAAGACGGCGTTTAAAAAAAAAGATGATGTTTCACAGTATTTGTATACTGTCAGGGCCGTTACGCACGCTATAGGATCACCATGCAGGCCTCGTCTATTGTGGATTTGAACGGTGATTATTTTGAACAGGTACAGTACAGAAACTGATTTTACAGCCCAAATAATCAAATTAATTGTTAAATATTACGACCATTCCATTTAAATACGGATTTCGGGTGAGAAAAAGAAAATGTCAACGAACTAGAATAGCACCAAATTCTACGAAATAGACTGGCACCATCTTTGCCTGCTTTTAAATCAAAGTTAAAACTTTTCTGTTTGATAAAGCATTTAATACTTGAAGTATTTTCTATTGTTTATTACTGTTTTTTTATGCTGAAGTACTTTTTTTTAATGGTACTCTATTACCATTTTAATTGTTTCTGTTTTTATTTGTTGTAGTTTTAGTTATTGTAAAGCACATTGGTCAGCGTGGGTTGTTTTTAATTGTGCTATATAAATAAATTGTCATAGTCATAGAATTCTATTCTATTCTAGAATAGAATCGAACAGAATATTATACAGCTGTTTTTATATAAAGGAAAGACATGAGCTACAGCCATTTTTTTCGATTACATTGTTATTTAAATGTACATTTTTAATATTTTTGCTATTATTATTATTATTATTAAATGGTCTTGTTCCTGTAGAATAGAGTAAAAGTGAAGACAGTTGCAATGCTCATTGTTCCCGGAGAGTCCCGCAGCCTCTGGCCTCGACACAAAGCGCTACTGTTTACATTAATATTCATAGTGCTGCCATGGTCTCTGTAGAGGAGGAACGGGTGGCTCTTTTGTTCGCTTGTGTCAATACGTTTATTCAGCAAAAAGGAGCTCGTATTTGTGAATGCCCACAGAGCACACGCGCACTTGTCCAATCAAAGGACGAGAGGATAACGAGTTTAAACGATTCGCAAACGTGTTTATTTATAAGGACGACATCAAGAGCTTAATGCCCACTTGAAAAAACGGAGCCCGCGGCACCAAGGATATTTTGTAGGTAGTTGTCTTGAGCCACTCCCGATTTCAGCACTCTGGATAGCGACCAAACAGGAATACCAGAATACCACGAGCGCCTTTTCTTCCCGCGTTCTTTCAGAATTCTAATAATTTAAAATAGCAAATACATTGTTTTAAAATAAAATAGCGCTATTTGGGGAAATATAAGAGAGACTTGTGTATCCGCGTGATAAATCAATTATCTTTCGCGCTGCGAATTTCACGAGTGAAATGAACCCAATTCACCGATAAAAATAGATAACAAAGAAAAGGGTTTATCCGTTCAGTTTTGACTTGTGTCCTGTTGTTTTACAGCTGCCACAGTGATCCCTTAAACTGCAGTGAGAGTGTGGCTAATGCCTTTTGTTTAGGATAATCCTGTAATCTGTTACTGAAACGGCCTATTGGCAATCCAACATTCACATTTCAGTCAGGAGGCCCGTCCAGACGCGTACGTTTGTGAATTACAAATGATAAAAATTAAGGTCTGCATTAGGCGTCAGAAATGTCACGAGCACAGATTCATTTTCGTTGACAGATAATGCTGGCAATCGCTACCCTGGCAGTCTGAAAATTAATGTTGACATGTTACATACAGCTACAGATTAGATCAGCCTTATGCTTTATTTGTTTACCTCGCCGGATCTTGTGCGAGACTGTTTATTTTAAGAAAATGGCTCCCTCACTGCACAGGGACATTAAGGAAGTGACGTGAGCCAATAGTCTTCACAGTCAGATTGCTTTTTTCTCATGCTGATCTTCAGGCCTGTTTTTTTAAAGCATGATGTGTTTAAGACTGTAAATGTATTTTAATTTATTACCATATTTTAAAATCATCTACATTTTTATTAAAGTTAGTCTCATTATGTCTCTCAAGAACAAAAAAGGTGGTAGTTAAACCAAGTGGCTTGGTTTGATCTTACATTTGTGTACTGTGACATTCAACAGGGGGAAAAACCCCTTTTGTTTGACAAGGCTTGACGGTCATTTCAGCAGACTCTAATTACAGACTCACTAAGAAGAATCTTTGCAGTCATTTATCCTTATCAGCGCACTGGTGGGAAGGTAATAGGTTTTGCGTATGAGATGCAGGGCTCTTGTTTGCGTGCGAGTCTGGGTCCTTGTGTAGGCGATGCTGATGCGGTGCATTAAATATTGAGGGAGCTCTCTCCCAGAAATAGAAAAGTACAGGCTGGGACGGGAACGTCAAAGCCCGCTCGGTGGCCACGTTTTGTTTCGAAAGGCCTATTTTTAATAGCGTAGTTTCAGTTGATAAGGTGTGTGATGTTTAAGCAGCGCAATGGAAGTAACTCCAGCAGTAAGCAGTCTCTCGCCTGTCTATGTGAGTCATGTATTTTGGGATGAAGTGCTCTTCCACCTCTACCTCTGCTGTGCTGGCGCCAGTATCTGGGCTGTAAGATAGTGTACGTGTCAGTCTGCGTGGCCGAAGAGCCTGCGCGGTGTGTAACTCACTACATTCATCGCTGAGGATGGGTGGCTTGCCATAGGGAGGTTTACTTCAGTTCACAAATCACATTTGCCCTGATCCTGTCACATTGTGTCAAGACTCACTCTGTTTGTGTCAATGCATAGGCAGGGCCTGTTTGAGTAGGTTTGCATTCTAAACCCGAGATAGTTCCCAGGCTATGAAGGCTATGGGCTACTGCCCAAGCAAAAGATGCCATTTTATCGCCATTCGTGATCAAACGAACGCCCTTCTCTTGGAAATTCCTGCTGGGGTGACAGTCAGTCTTGCCTAGGTCCATGTTTGCAGAGCTTTAATAACTCGCCTCTCTGAGCTTTCTCCTTGTCAGTGTCAATTTGCCTGAGATATAAATTCCGGCTGCCCCGAAAGCTTATTTGATTAATGCAAGACAAAAAGCGATTTTAACCGAGCGCTCGTTCTCGAACATGCACACACTAAAAGTCAAGAAGCCAGCCAATAGCAACAGTCGTCAAGCTGCTGTTACCTGGGCAACCTGGTTAGAGGTAAGGCTCAAGGCAAGAATAAATCATTCCACTGAGGAGACAGAGCGTTACAGAGAGATGAGAGAAAGAGGCAATGCTGAAGGGAGAACAAAGGAACAGACTTCCCACACTACTATAAATTCACCTGTTAGTGCAAATGAATGTAAATAAAATAAAAACCCGCTTAATTAGATATCAGATACAATTTCATTTATTTCCAATTACATTCCTGGAAGGATTTCTAAAATTAATTTTAATCTAAAAAACAAAGACACTTGTGGCAGATGATTCTGCCTGTTGATCGTGGGACTCCAACAAAAAAAAAAATCACGGATGCATTGTTAATTAGGTTGGTGAGACACCCTGTTCCACCCCCAGGGGCCGTTCTGGGGAAAGAGCGCTTTCAGTCAACTAAGGATGACTGATACATGAACATACATTACACACGCCAATTTGTAAATTCTGGAGAGTAGCAGCCTTGGGAAAAATACCCCCCAAAAAGAATCAACAAGAAAATCACAAAAGAGATAAAAACGACAGATCGCTTATGGTACGATGCAGAGCACTGACTTTGAGAACTCCAGTTGGGCATTGTGACAGAAAGGGACCGTTAAAGACTGAAGTAGCGTCTACAACCTGCATACATCTGTTCTTTGAAAATCCCCTATAGGCCAAATTAAGCATCATGCTGTGCTCCACAGCAACATGGATGAACCAAAGATCCAGACACACGCACACACATACAGTGGGTACGGAAAGTATTCAGACCCCCTTAAATTTTTCACTCTTTGTTATATTGCAGCCATTTGGTAAAATCATTTAAGTTAATTTTTTTTTCCTCATTAATGTACACACAGCACCCCATATTGACAGAAAAACACAGAATTGTTGACATTTTTGCAGATTTATTAAAAAAGAAAAACTGAAATATCTGAATACTTAGGACCATGTGATATTTCTGTTTTTCTTTTTTAATAAATCTGCAAAAATGTCAACAATTCTGTGTTTTTCTGTCAATATGGGGTGCTGTGTGTACATTAATGAGGAAAAAAAATTAACTTAAATGATTTTAGCAAATGGCTGCAATATAACAAAGAGTGAAAAATTTAAGGGGGTCTGAATACTTTCCGTACCCACTGTACACTCTTCTCATCTTTATTTGTCTGAATTGCATTTTCTTAAAAGGAAATTTAAAAAATAGTGTTCGCAAATACATTGATGTTTATCCTCTCAGAGGCGAGTGATGTAACGCTGTTTGATCCTGGATAGCATAAAGGGGGCTGGGAAAGAGTGAAAGGACTGTGACATCTGCAGGGCCAGGGGCTGAGAGTTGGAGAGAGCTGAAGTGAGGGAGGAGGTCAGAGGAGGAGGAGGGGAGGTGGGATATTGTTCTCTTCCGGCCGTCTACCACTCAGACACATTGATTTTTAACCTCTAAACCAGGATGCCAAGCATTACGCCCCTCAAATTATGCGTTTTCACCCAACTTAGAGTGTAATTTGTAATTTTCTCACCTGCAGATAATTAGCACCATGGAAACTCAGGTGTCCAATGGTCCGAGCGGAACCAGCCTGCCTAACGGCCCCGTCATTAGCACTAACGGTGCCGCGGACGACAGCAAAACCAACCTGATCGTCAACTACCTGCCTCAGAACATGACCCAGGAGGAGTTCAAGAGCCTTTTCGGCAGTATCGGAGAAATCGAGTCCTGCAAATTAGTCCGAGACAAGATCACAGGTGAGCACGCGATTTGGTCTCGGTGAAAATTAGCATCAAAGCATCCTTTTCCAAAGCATTCTCGTTCGTACTATTGCAGGCCAGAGTTTGGGCTACGGCTTCGTAAACTACGTGGACCCCAATGATGCCGACAAGGCAATCAACACGCTCAACGGTCTCAAACTGCAGACCAAAACCATCAAGGTAAGAGACTCATGAAGCCACGCTCTTCAATCACTCGATGGGGAGGACTAAAGCAGGGCCCAAGACAGACGTGACAGCAGGAGGGGAGGAGAATGGGAGGGGCAAGGGGAGGAATCAGTGGTGGGGACAAAAGGAGCAAAACAAAAGAGAAAGTAGAGGTCAGAAAGCAATGGGTTGTGTGCAGAGGTGATTGTGATGGAAATGTAATAAGGGAGACGCAATGTGAGGCTTGGAGGTCAACACGGAGAGCCCCATCTGCCGCCAATCTTGGCTAATTAGGGCCTTCTTTGTCCCCAATTCAGCTGGGTTTTGGGGTGGGGAAAGGTCTGCCTGGGTTTCTGAAAGCGAGAGATTAAACAGTCGGTCTGCGCCGCCACCTGATCACCACACATCAAAGCCGAGGCAAGAATCAGCAGTTAAGCAGCTTCCCCAGACTTAGCGTGTGCTTGCATGTGCTCATATCATGGAAATCGCATGATAGGCCAAGATGACCATCAGAGCAGTTTCATTCCCTAGTCTAATTTGAAACCGTCATGCACTGTTATTCGGTGAATAATGACTGCAGTCCATGGGCGAACATTATTGGCATAGTTATTTAAACAACACGGAGTCCGACTGCTATTGTCCTAATTGTCTTGTTTGTTCAGCGCATTCATCCGGCTTGGCCACTGTTCTCTGACATTCAACATTCGTGTGCCCACTGCCCTCAAATCCTTAAGCTGGGCAAATGTCATATTTTCCATGTCAATAGAGCATTGTTATAAAGGTAGAGAGCCGATAGCGAGGATGGAAGGGGGGAGGGAGGGAGGGAGATGGGGCGCAGGAGCAAAAGCTAGGAGCAAAGGCTAGGAAGGAGCCGAATGCCAATGACAGGATTAGGGGCCATATGGGCTGCAGGCACCATCTGTACTGTGGGAGAGACAGGGAGAGGGTTAATTATGGGGCAGCATCCCATCCCTCCAATACATCTCCCCCCTCCAGTCTCTGCTGTACACTCACCCACTCACTGCACAATTACACCCCTACCTCAACAATACCGCTGCTTAGTCATACTGGCCTGCAAGACGCAAACACGCATATGGTGGAAAAACACATCATTCTGCCAAGGTCTGATGGCGAAACATGCAATAACTTGGTTGGGCGTCGTAAAATGGCTTGAACACATTTAAAATAGACTCCTGTTTATGATAAAAACAAGTTTACTTGCTTAACTTTTTTTGTTGTTGCTGCTGTAATCGCTTACATAAAGGTCATCAGATTCAAATATGCCAATGTGTGTTGAAAAAAAATGAAATGAAATACTTTGTTATAGAGCCCATTATTAAAGAAAAAGGTTACAGACAGAAATAAATGTTTTCTTCCCGATTTAGAATTTATATAAATTCTAAATGATATATGTAAAAATGAGTAAAAAGCTATAGGGTGCTATAAAAGTTTAGAAAAATAATAAAAAAGTACATATGCAGTTTAAATTTTATTAAATTATATAATTAAAGCAGTTTATTAGTAAATAAGTAAAAAAGGTCCATTGGTAAAAAGACTATATATATGGCAATATAAATAAATAATTCTAAAATGTATATATTATATTAGTATTGGGGAAAAGGCTATATGGTACTATAAATGTTTAGAAAGACAATAAAAAGTACATATTATTATATTGTATTATATTATATTAAAGTTGATTAAATTCTATATAAAAAGTATATTAGTGAATAAGTAAAAAAGAGCATTTGTAAAAAGACTAAGTATATATTAAATATGCAATATAAAGGTAAATCAATTATATATCAAAAAAACATATACTATTTTAGGTTCTAAACAAAACATGTCCATGTATAAATGAGAAGTATTAGTTGTATGTGTAATACTGTTGAATAGAAACGATCGTACATGAATAATCCAGAGTTTTGGTAAAGTGAGGGTGCCACATTTCCATTAGCATTAATTGGTATTGTGCTTTGTATTTGATTTGCTTTTGTTTTTTTTCATGTGGTATTTTGTGAGGATGTGTGTTGGGGAGTTGTCAGAGATGCTGGACATCTTGTAATCTGTTTACTTGGTTCGCCGGTTGCCAGAGGAGCAGGTTCCCCTTGAGAGAGAAGACAAAGGAGAGATGGAGGAGAAGGAGGGGGCCAATCTCTTTATCTCAAAAAACCACATGCGCACACACTGACACCATCAATCAAAGTCAGCCCCTTTCAACCAGAAACTCATAAATATACATATTTTATGAGAAAAATCTGTTCGCATCTCAAATACGACCAAGGCGGCTCAGTGGGGGAGTTTTAGGAAATATAGAAGGGAATATAAAAATGAGATGAATATTTGAACGTCAAAACAAATGCCTAATTGGACTTGATATTACATGACACGTCCCAAAGCGGAACAGGTTCTAAATGCTGCTGTCTTGTGGAAAATCACCCGCTAGAATAACAGCCCATGATATCAAATTTTCCTCACGACTCCCTGAGGGAGCTGGTCTCAAATCAGCGCAGGGGGTGTCGATGCGTATGGGGGGGAAGTGTGAATGTGAGAGTGGGTTCGTGTTTCTGCTGTCAGGAGCACAGTGAAGCTGACGTAGCGTTTAATAAGAGAACCGGGTTTGGTTGGAGTGAAGTGCACGTAAGAGACGTGGATTTCAAGGAAGGAGGGATGAGAGAGAGTGGGCGGATGTCTCGCCTTTGAGCGTGGCAGTGCTGTGACATATCTGCTTCGACTACACTTGAAAGTTTGCACTGCTGGGAGTTTTAGGACTGTCACAGCTGTCTTGATGCATGCTTCTTAATATTTCTATTAAAAGAAATCCTAAACTGCAGCTCCTTGTTGTGTGTGTGTGTGCGATGTAGGTGTCCTATGCCAGACCAAGCTCAGCTTCCATACGCGATGCCAACCTGTACGTGAGCGGCCTGCCCAAAACCATGAGTCAGAAAGACATGGAGCAGTTGTTTTCCCAGTATGGAAGGATCATCACCTCACGCATCCTGGTAGACCAGGTCACAGGTAAACGTTACCACACTTCCACAAACAGCGTAGGGACCCTGGGGGAGGATTACAAATCTAATTAATGCTCTGGATGTGACGCAAAAAAATAAGCTATATGCTCCACCACAGTCAACATGAAATCAAAATTGACCCCATTTTTACATATCCAATGCACATTCCTGGCAGTGTTATTTTGGTAATATTTTGAATTAATTTTATTTCAGTTACAGTTTTAGTAATAATTTAGGTATGTTTAAACATGACTGGTTTTTATTCATTTTAGTTTTAGTTATTTTAGTATGTTAAGATAAACCAAATGAAAATGATAAATGTTTGGCAACTAGCTGAAATAAAAGTTTTTCATATTTGTATTGATTATTTTATTTCAAGTAACATTTTTTAATCTTTTAGTTTCAGTAAACTATAATAATCCTGATTCCTGATCTTACTGTCAAATAAAAAAAAAGAAGACTGAAGTGACCCCAAGTGCTACACAGTTGCACATAAATAAATGAATGAATAAATAAATAAATAAATAAACAAACTTTATGAGAAAAACCACAAATCCTTTGGGTATAAAAGGATTGAATGAATAAAAAATGTAAAACCTCACAGAAAATTTAAAACTAAAGAATAAAGACGTCTATTGAAATATACAATTATGCATTATTCATCTGTACAACGTTTTAATAAAAAAAAAAAATCAAAATCAAAAACCATTTATCCTTTTTCATTGATATTAACGTACAGTGTTAATCAAAAGCCAACTTCCCAATACATAAAATCAAATCCCACCCATTTTTTTTCTCATCAAAGTTCCTGCATCAGTGAGAAATACGTCACAGTATGGAAATTAAATGGTTTGCTCTGAATATGGTTATTTTTAAAGTAGAAAAAGTAGATCATAAAGTACTAAAGTAAACAGTTTGGTTTAAACCTGTGACCACATGACTCAACTTATCTGTCATTGATTCGATTGACGGTGCTAACATTTGCCTCGCTTTCTGTCCGGAGCAGGTATATCGCGCGGAGTAGGATTCATTCGGTTCGATAAGAGAAACGAGGCCGAGGAGGCCATCAAAGGCCTGAATGGTCAAAAGCCGCTGGGCGCCGCCGAGCCCATCACCGTAAAGTTCGCCAACAACCCCAGTCAGAAGACAGGACAGGCCCTGCTTACCCAGCTTTACCAGACAGCTGCTCGCCGCTTCACCGGCCCTCTGCACCACCAGACTCAGCGCTTCAGGTACCGCTCCCACCTGCAGCCCACACCCCTACCGCTCCCTACTCTGCCTCTGCCGGTTTTCCTTTAAACCGTAGCGCGTTCACGCCATCAGGGGGATTTTTTCGACAAATCACAACGGGCCCAACTGAGGCAGTGCTTAATTTTAAAAGAACTGCCCTGCTTAGAGATAAAACACTGCATGTGAATCAGTCACGTCATGGATGCATTCACAAGCATTCATCGCAGTACTCTCAATCCATCGCCTGAGGGCTCAGCCTCTGAGTCTGTAAGCACTGACCAGCGAGCCGCCGCCTGCTGATTGGTGGATGCGGTGCCCAGTAAAGAGCTCCCCCTGGTGGCTGAAGTGGCTGCATGAAAACGCTTGTCTCTGGTTGTTGGATCTTGCAACTAATATCTTCACCTCAGTCACTCTCCCTCTTGCATTGCAGACTCGACAATTTACTAAACGCCAGCTACGGAGTCAAGAGGTAATTTCCACAAAAAATGGTGTCCTTTCAAAAGCATCCATGCCTAAACAAGCTCAAACAAAGTGCCCGGAATATCACCTGCTGACTTAAGCATTACCATTAGAGATTTGATTTGATAAACCACCGTTTCAGTAGACTAGATTGACATAGCTGATATCACAGCAGGACATTCTGGCATGGCTTTGTTGAACCTTTTTGTTCTTTTGGTTGATTCCTTGATTGAACTGATTTGTATGTATTGAACTAACATTATTATTATTTTTTTTCAGTTTTGGTTGCTTTAATGTATTTTTTTCCACCAGCATGGACATACAAGATTCCGTTTGTGTCTCCTCTGTTCGTTCCAATTTTCCGTTGATTTGTTTCTGATTTGCCTTCATCCCTCTCTAGGTTTCTGTTTTGCTAAGTATATCGTGATTTTGTTACATTGTGAATTCTGTGTCCTAACAGGGACTAGAGTTTGGTTTGGTCAACCTAGTTAATAATACAATAGCTGCCCATTTTCTTACCTACTTAAGGCTGTGGAGAGCGAGTGTCCGGTTCTCAAAGAGACAAAAGTGGCAGGAACATGTGGTAATGAGAAGCACGCTGTGCTGAACTTCAGAATGACACCCATGGTAGCTCTCCTTCTTTCCTCCCCAGATTCTCCCCCATAACCATTGACAGCATGACCAGTCTAGCCGGCGTCAACCTGACCGGGCCCACCGGAGCCGGCTGGTGCATCTTCGTCTACAACCTGTCCCCGGAAGCCGACGAAAGCGTCCTGTGGCAGCTCTTTGGGCCGTTCGGCGCTGTCACAAACGTCAAGGTCATCCGTGACTTCACCACCAACAAATGTAAGGGCTTTGGCTTTGTCACCATGACCAACTACGACGAGGCGGCCATGGCTATCGCCAGCCTCAACGGCTACCGCCTGGGCGACCGCGTGCTGCAGGTCTCCTTCAAGACCAGCAAGCAGCACAAGGCTTGAAGGAAGGCCTAGTCACTACTGCTCTTTAACATGCAGGGGGAGCTACTGAGCTCCCTGTACATTCACTCTACATGGGCCTGGACTGAGTCGCTCTCTAACACACATTCGACACACACACATACACACACACGTTTAGTTGTTTCAAACAAAAATACACAAGTAGAGTTGTTTTTCTTTTCTCTTTACACAACATGCTAGTCCTTCCCAACATTTGCCTGTATTGAATTAGCAGAGTTGTGAGGCGGGGCTGGGCTGGGGAAATCCACGAGGAGGGACAGTCTTATGAATGTGACAGAGAATGTCTGCAGAGATTTAATTTAATTCAGGCAAAGTAAGAGAACTGGTCAACGAACGAACGAACGGGGAAAAAAAAAGTTAATCGAATATGTGCAATTTACCCGAAATCTTGCCCCGGTAACTCTCCTGTCTGGCTTCAGAGGATGTAGTCACTTTTTTACACTTGGGCATTTTGAATCAGTGATTTTTTAGAGAAAATGATTAAAACAGTGTTCTCATATATATTATGATATAACTATATATTCAACATTTAAGGTGGTTTTAATAGCCAAATATGTAAGCATTTTCTAGAACTTTGATTACGGTTTCCTGGCTCTACATTAGGTTGCAAACTTGCCTTATGGCACCACACACACCTTACTCGAGGTCCAACCCAACAACCGCTGAACAAACTGTGTGGATGGTAGTCACAAATCGAGAGGTCACCCGGGGGTCATCACAATCACCTCAGCACACCGAAAGACAACGTTCATCAGAGACACTCGCACACACATACACGCACATGCACACACGCACCTCTGCTGGAGGGCATAGCGAAACATCACAAAACATGGCGACCTAGAATCTCGTATCTTTCCACTCTGAGTTTTAGAGTTAGAATTTAGAATCGATTCCACCACATGCAGTTGTCTGTGTAACTAGGGGCATTTCGACAGTGTTCCCATGGCGATGGCATTTGGAATTCTTCTGAAAGTCTTTCAAACCAATTACGAAGGCCGACTGCGGAATCCAGAACCATATTAGATCATTTTAAACAGGTTTGAATGGCTCGGGAGTAGGAAAGGCTGTGTGTCAGCTCTTTGAGCAAAAGAGTGAGCTGTTATGAAGGTCAGAGGCCACTGGGATTGGTCGTCCTTGGTCTTCATAATTTCTCAGATACATTTAACTCCATTCACTAAACAGAATCGCATTATAATTCACTTTCCCGAACCGGTTTTAGCAGCCCCTGCGTATCTAAACGGCTACATATCAAATAAAATTTAGTGTCCTCAAGACCCTTTAAAGCAAGTCGCAGCCACATGAGCTGCACAAAAAATCTCATAACTGAAAAATTCCCTAGACACATTAAAGACAATGCCCAAGCTGTCCACAGCCCTGCGATAAAACAAACGAAACTGTTCCATGGGGAGAGACATTGCTGTAAAATTGCAAAACTTCACATTATATGAAGAAAAGAACTGAAAGATGTAAATGTGTTCAAATCAAGTGACATTTTGCTTTTCTAAATAACGCTGTGTTAGCCAAAGAGGACAATGATCTCTTTGAAAGGATTACATTAGAGATTAATATATTTTTATATCGACGAAGAAAAAAACCACAAGACCTTGTGCAACATTTTTACAGATTCTTAAATCGTGGAAATCTTTGGACACACCGCATGGCTTTTATTTTCAGAGTTTTCAACTTTGGGAGAGAGGGCCAGTCTGCGGTGTTAGGGCGGGGATCGGAGGGTTGGGGACTAAGACTTACATGCAGTGAAACCATTTCATTTTCAAAAATACAAAAAAAAAAAGAGAAACATACGAAACATTTAAAAAAAGAATCAGCAGACAGGTACATGTATGCATTACGCAGGAAAGCGACGTTACGGTTTCTCTAAAGTGTTGAAAAAAAATCAAGCGTTGCTTCAATAACGGTGCAGTGAAGCTCGAAACGGCGTCACATCGAACACCCAGAGCATCTCATCTTGTATCGGCAAAAACAAAAAAGAAGAATCACCTTAACGCTTCAGCATGTTCGGTGCACCAAAAAAGCAAAAAAAAATTGACAATGTAATGTAGCTGCACTTATTAATGTAATCAATTCTCACAATAATCCATAGTGGATTATATTCGCCAGTATGTCAACACAACAAGCAAATGTCTATCATTGTGCTGTCTAGATTTGTTTGTTTTTATTTAATTTCTGCTCCACATATCTTCTGTATTCCACCATCATATTGTCGACACCTAATTTTGCTCCTTTGCACAAGCACTAACCAACCAAGGGATCTTAGCTTTGTCACTGATGAAGGGAAAAAGTCAGTCCGAAACATTTAGCAAGAGTGTGACCGCACACACACGTACACTTAGACACACACACACACACACACACACACACACACACACACACGCAACACATATCAAAGTGTCTCTAGGCCCTCCACAGCATTCCCATTGTATCAAAACTGTGATACACCTTGAAGTAACCCCCTCAGCTTGCGCTACAGTAACAAAGCAACACGTTTTTCTTTCGCTAACGCAACTCATCCTGGAACTCATCGGTGGTGTGCCCTAGAGGGGACAAAAATCCTAGACGTAAAGATTGGTCCGCCCTCTAAAATGAGCGATGGGGTAGATACAGTGGCCATAGGGAGGTTTTAGCGTCGTCCCTCTGGCCGAGTGTCCCAATGAACCCTTTAGCTACACCGCTCCCCCATCCCCTCAGAGAGCCAAGGACAATGGCAGGAAACAAACATGCTGCACCGCTTGAGCAACTACAATAATAATCATTAAAAAAAAAAAAGAAAAAAAAAAAACCTTTCCTATGGAACAGTAAGTGCAATGTGCTTCGTTTTTATATTGACTGAGAACAAAAGATATATATATTTTTAAAAAAAGAAATTAAACGTCACACTGAAATGGTTTGCAGAATAGTGAGTGGATCAAATGTAACGAACAACAACAAAATGAAAAAAAAAGTGTTAACTAACAGATTCATTAGAAGAATCAAACAAGCACCAAGAGCTCTGGTCTCTAAAAATGTCCATTATCCCTTCCTCCACCCCCTTATTAGTGCTCTGACCAGCAGCCAGGCCTTAGGCTCACCCGCTGTCATACAGCCGTCAAACCGACCGAGAGTGCGGTCTAGAAAATAAAAGAGTCAGTGGGAGGGCTAGAGCGCAACGATTAGCAGACGTGGGCGAAGAAAGCGCAGCGGGGGAGACGGGCCAGGCGAGGCGAGGCGCTGAGCTAGATAAAGGGGTCAGTGGTCACTCTGTTTCTCAACCAGTTGTATTTTGTGTCAGTTAATTTAGGAGGGACACAGAGTTACTTAGCAACGTTCTTCTGAAACCATTTTCCAGGAATAACAGAATAAAACAAATGAACAATAATGATAATAAAAAAAAGGTCAAAAGCAGAACTCCTGATCTCAGTGTCTGTGTGTCACGAAGACAAATCTCATACTTCCAAACATAAACAAACACATAACAAAGGAGGAAAAAAATAATAAACCTTTCAGTTTAGTTTAGGATATTTATTACTGGGATTTCAGCTGAAGACGCTTGAGGACTTTTTCATGGAATTGTTTAATTATTTGTACTTTACATGCCAGAAAAAATAAAAGATATAAATCTCAGTGTTTTCTTTGTGCCTGCTTTTTTTTTTTGAGAATTGAGGGGTTTTGTAGGTGTACATCACATGCTGCTGCACTCATTCAGGACAAAATGAAATTCTTCATCCGATTTGAACTTAGTCAGTAAAGTTAACAAACAGCTTGATATTTAACAGGTTTACAACTTCAGTAAACAACAGGTAATGCTGAAGTTCATAGTCTAGTGTGTAAAACATTAACCTCAGTTAGTCAGCTAGCCAATGACAATTTAGGTTGTCCACTTCCTACACTAAACGTGTAATGATGCACTACTCTAAGCCATTTTGTAGCATACATAGTGTCAGCAGTGTGTTCACACTGAACAGTCCGAAAAGAAAAAGTGCACTTCAAATAACCAGATAATGCACTTAATTAACTGTTGCACTCGTCCTTATGCAGCTCAGGGGAAGGGGCTATTAAACTCTGATACTGGATGAAAAAGAACTTCAGAAAATTCATACACTACACAGTAGACTAAATAGTACATAGTATAAGTGCATACTGAACAGTGCTGGGTAGATTACTTACAAAAGGTAGTCCATTACTGATTTCAAATTACATGACAAATATTGTAGTTAGTAGCGTAATCCATTACATTACACATTTCAGGTAATATAATCAGACTACTTTTGACCTAACACATTTATCACATTGATTTAAACAGGATAATCTTGTACCATACGGATATAAAAATACAAAGAGAAAAAAATCATTCCATTCATCATTATTAATATGAAGTGCATTAAACATTACATTCCGTCAAGGTTTCACAAATGCGGTTTGTGAGATTAAAGAAAGGCTATCAATTAATTTAAAAATGTGAAGCTAAAATCAAGCATTTTAAAATAACAATAATCAAAATAAAACACTAAAAAAGATTAAATATTTGTTTTTTAATAATGTGTTACTTAATTATTAATTTAAAATATCAGTGGGTGCTTCAAGTAAATATACGTATTAGGTGAAAGAGGTTCAGCTACTAAAAAAAGTTAAGAGCATTCCTGCATTACATGGAAATAAGAAATAATAAGTTTGTGCATTTAACGTGTTTGAAAGACAAAAGCCTTCCAAAGACATTGTAATATTTAGTTAAATAACCGACTGAGTGGTAATTCAAACAAACACTAATGTGTCCATCAGTAGTTGAACTTAAGAAGTAAACACTTCTTAAAATTGGTATGATTTTTGTACATCTAGTGCTCAAATGCTGTGTAGCCTCTCAATGTTTTGTGTATTTATATCCACCTGACTAGTGACTGGTCTTTGTGTGAATGAATGTCCACAAAACTGGAAGGCTTTCTGAATGTATACAAGCGGCAGGCTATTTTATGAACGAATGATTGAATGATTTATTGCTATTGTGTGAATAATATGTAATCATGGAATAATCATCACTGTAGTTTGACTATGAGTATTTTAAAATGCAATATAATCGAATTACAAGTACTTAATTTTTGGAACCTGATTATGCAATCCAGATTACTTGTAATCAGTTACTACCCAGCACTGCCACTGAATCAGTATCATTTAGGACAACTAAGGTCTTTTTTCAACAAGCCACAACCATTTTTGAAATATGAAGTTGAATTTATTTAAACAGTGCTTAACTGTCACAGTTTTTCTTATGTGGCCAAAGGGAAAGGGCTATCAGACTCTAATGTGTTCATATACTAGACAATAGAGTACATTTTTGAACCAGTCACAATTTTTTGTTGTTGAATTTATTTCAAAATTATCCATGGAATGTAAAGAGATCAGATTCTACTGTAAAAACAACAACAAAACATTACAGTTTACCAAACTTAATGTTCTCCCAACTTCCAGCTTCATTTAGCTGATTCAAAACTAATGGAAGAGGTTCTTAAACAGCCTGAACAGGAAATGAAGTTAATGTTCCCACAGAGCAACAACCTACAGACCAGGAGAGAGAGAGAAAGGGGGGAAAAGTTAATATTGATTTGTCACCACACACAAACAGTTAATGTATTCTGAAGAACATAATGCACAATTAACTGCACTTTAGGGTCATGAATTGATGATAATGCACAGTGCACATCGGTATAGATGGAAAAGCTGATTTCAGGAAATTTGTAAGTTAGGCTTATCGTGTAAACTGAATAAAGTCAGTCAAAGATGTTTAAGAACAACTCCAGACAAAACAAGATCTTTTGTATATAATACTTGAGATATGCACACTTGTTCCAGACAGCTAAAGGTTTTCCAAATTTGATATTAAAGGGGTCATATGATGCGATTTCAAGTTTTCCTTTCTCTTTGGAGTGTTACAAGCTCTTGGTGCATAAAGAAGATCTGTAAAGTTGCAAAGACTAAAGTCTCAAATCCAAAGAGATATTCTTTATAAAAGTTAAGACTCGTCCACGCCCTCCTAAAACGCCTCGTTTAAACACACCCCCACATGTCTATGTCACGATGTGAGAAGATTTGCATAAACGCCGCCCAAATGTTCACGCAAAGAAAGAAGGCGTAACTTTATTGTTGCCACCGCCATGTCGTGAAGATGTTGTGTGTTTCGTTGTGAAAGCAAAACTACTTTGTTTGTTCTTCCAAAAGAGGACACGACTAGAAATCAGTGGTTAAGTTGCATTTACAACACTGTTCCAGAACACTTCAACCCAAATATTCAGATGTGTGCAGCACATTTTATGGAGGACTGTTTACTGATCCAGGGAGAGTAACGTTAGACTAAAATGCCAGCAGTTCTGAGCAAATGTTGTTGATCATTGGTCCATTCATTGGTGAAACAAAGCAATATTCTATACAGAACTGTCTGCAGTATTAAACCACTGTTGTTTCCATAATGTTGCACCTAAACAAAGGCTAACTGAATCTATTAACAAAACATGCAGTGAACTGTCATGGCAAAACCCAGGCCTCATTACATTCAAAGTGTGAAAAATGCGTCAAACCAATTTAGACCCTATGATAATTGAAAGATTAAGCCTTGTTTTTTCCATTAGGAGTGCTTTAAACATTTAAAATAGAGTTTGCATGTATTTTGTGGCACACCATGCATCAACAAGCAGAGCGTGGAGTCTAGAGCTCCTCGTGGCCGTGTGGCAAGAGGTCCATGTTGGCTGGCTCTTGGCACACTGCAGGAGTGGTGAATTCCATTAGGTATTCACAGCGACTCGGCTCCGACGTCGAGGTCACCACAGTCTCCTTCCCACAAGTCAGCTTCACCTACCACACAAAGATACACTTAGCAGAAAAACTCCCAGCGTGAATGGCACAGTGGAAGTAATGAAAGAGCCGGTACTTACTGTAGTTGATCTGTTTGGACCTTGCCAGCACCCAGTGCCGTGCTCGTATTTCATCACCAAGTACTTATTATTTTCAGGCCCTGACCAACTTCCCCATGTCCTGAGAACATGAGCATCTC